TTCTCATGTGCCAAGTATGTAATGGCTGCCAAGCGTGATGCTAAGAATTAAAAATGCGAATTCTCACAACAAAACTATTTTACGGCTGAGGAACCTGAGACTGGGGCAGAGAGAGAGAGAAACTTGTGCAAGGTCCCACAGCTAGAAGCTTTGGAGCTGGAACTCAGGAATGCCTGACTCCAGAGTTCATGCTCTAACCACTAGGCAAGGAATTCTCAACACTGGCTTTAGTGACATTTTGAGCTGGATGATTCTTTGCTGTGGGGGACTGTCCTGTGCTTTGTAGGATGTTCAGCAGCATCCCTTGCCTCTACCCACTAGATGCCAGCAGCCCCACTATCCCCAGCTGTGACAACCAAAAGTGTCTCCAAGCATGGCCTAATATCCCCGGGGGTGCAGCACCACTGCCCTGGACCATGCTGCCTCCAGCACTGGGACTGTGGCCCAACCCTGGCTTCGACGTGGACTGAATGGAACACCAAGTTTTGGGAGACATAGTCATATGCCCAGGGAGCATTCACTTGGCAGGGAAGGCGAGACTGATGCAGAAGCCAGGTTGGAGGGCAGCTCAGAGCTGAGCTGGCAGGGTCTGATGGTGGGTGCTACACACGCTCCAGTAGGTACAGCTACAGTGTCCTCAGGGAGGGCACAAACTTGGCCTTGGACCTTCTGACAGCCACCTAAACCTATGACCTCATGTCGGCACAGAGCTCCAGGAAAGTCAGCTTATGGGAAGGGTCCATTGGAGCAAGTCCACCCAGGCACACCCTGGTAATATCTGGTGGGAGCCCAGGAGGCCCCACAAGAAAGGGGCCATAAAGCAGAGAGCCCACCATGCCAGGCCTATGGAGTGTGGGGCACTGCTCTTTCCTGGAATGCCCAGTGTTTGTTTTCTAGCTGGCCCTGTGCCTGGCCTCTCCTGTCAAGCCTGTGGTCCTTTTTCCTTTTCTCTTCTTTCCTTTTTTTTTTCTGCCTTGCCCTTCCAGATTTTTCAAAACTCAATATGTCTGGGCCCCCACAGCTGGGAAGATTGTGACACATTGAGGTTTGCTTTGGTGGCCTTCACTTGCCCACTCCTCACAGCAGCCCCTGTGTGAAAGTGAGGCTCTCCCTGCCCCCAACAACCCCACTCTCAGGAAAGGGCCTCCCTCTGAGCGGCCAAGACTACAGCTACTGCCAGGGTTAAAAGGACATAATGTGAGAGACTGTGACTGATCACCGAGCCCAGGGCTGCTAAATCCAGAAGACCCAGTGGAATTCTCAACCCCACATATGGAGAGTCAGCATGAGGGGTCTCCGCAGCTGAGTCCCAGGCAGCCCTTCTCAGTGCATCACAGGCTCCCTGTGATCTGTAAAACCAAACATTCATCTTCAAAGGCCTTGCCATGAAGCACAGAAGCCTGGTCTGCAGTTACAAACTTGGGCTCAGCATGCGGAGAGAGGGAGGAAAGGAAGAAAGAGAGATGAAGCCCATGTGGCGCGCTCCTCCCAGAGGAGGGTTCAGGTGCAGAACAGGAAGCAGGATCCACATGGGGCTTTGGGGAAACAGATGGATATTTTCTCCTCTGTCCAATCCACCTCCCTAGTCAAAGTCCCAGCCCTGTCTCTCACTTGCTGTGTGACCTTGAGCAAGTCCCTTCCCCTCTCTGAACCTCAGCTGCTCATTTGTCAAGTGTAGATAATGAACATCTCTCCTTCTAGCTTCACCGGGCCTTTGTGGGCCCACAAGCGTGGCTGGTTGAGAAAGTACTCTGCAAAGAATGGAGTACACCCACATAAGAGGAAAGTTGGCAGGGACTTTGTGGACAGCAAGTATTGGAGTCCCAATCCTGGCCCCAATCCTCGCCCCGGCAGACTGTCAGAGCCTCCCAGGCTGAGGCTCTAGCACAGAGTAGGAGGAAGAAAGCTAATTAGAAAGTGAAATGTTAATCATAACCAAGATCATCAGACTCTCCCAAGACCAGGTTATTTATAGCTGTGAAAACATTGTGTCTGAACAGTCAGTTCTACCTCTAGAGGGTTAGGATTTTTTAACGCTTTGATAGGATCAACTTTACTCTTTAAAGTGTGGAGAACCCCAAACCCAGCCAACTAGCCGGGCTCAGGGAGGGCTCAGTGGGAGAGAGAGGTGACTTTACCAGCTTGTGCTTTAAAAGCCCAAAGCCAGGATACAGACCATCTGCCCCACCCCTGTAATCACCAAGGCAACCCAGGAAAGTGGCCCCTCATTGTCCCTGGTAACTTCTCTTCCTCTTCCAAGAGCTTGCTGTTTGTCTCCCCATACCCACTGGCTCTGTGGATTATTTAAACTAGGAGAGGGGGATGGGGTGCTGGGGCAGCCCAGAGAGTGAGTGGACCCCATCCTCAGGAAATGACCACGGAGTCAGTAACATGGAAACTTCCTCTAAGGGAGCCAGTGCCTCCAGTCTTCCTGCCCAGTCATTGCAGCACCCGCTTGTCCTGCTAACAGTGGGTAGACCAGGACCCTCGAAGCCCTGAGAAACAAGCTCTGGTCCTCAGCATATTGGCTGCCATGGATGTGGCCCTGGCTCATCTGTCCAGCCTCATCTTGAGCCACTCTGCACGCTCACTCAGTGCTCCAGCCCCACCAAACAGTTACTTAAGACAGAAGCTCTAAATTCTCTCCAGCCTCAGGGCCTTTGCACAAGCTGTTCCTGGTCCTTCCCCTCCAGCTCTTCTACTGTCTGAGCCAACCCATCTTCCGGGTGTCAGTAGACATCACTTCCTCAAAAAGGCTCCTCCTGACCCCCATCTCAACCTAAATTAAACCTCACTATGGTTTTTCCTGATTGCATCTGTCACAGTTTGCAGCCACATGTTTATTTGAGTATGCATTTGTTTAGTACCTCTGAGCTCTGTGAGGACAGGGACAATATTTCCAGCCAAGCAAGAGCATGGCACAAAGTAGATACTCAGTGGGTTTTTACTGAAGAAATGAAGAGGGAATAGGATTTACACACAGGGAAGCAACTCAGACATTGCAACAGGATTTTGAAGGAGGCCAAGTGCAGGGAGCACATCTTGAAGGAACGTCAGAAGGAAAAGATGTTGAGGATAGATATCCTAGAGGGTTTTAAAGCCCAAAGAGGACTAGAGGGTTGGCCCTGGATTTGGAGTTTGTTTCTAGAACATTTCTTCTTTGCTAAATTCCTATCCTTGAGATAAGCTTGACCCATTCTGTGCTAAGGATGGGGTGGGGCAAGGTCTCCTTGGCTCATTCAAAAGCCAAAAGTCCTGGCTGGAAGTTAGGTTGCTAAGTAATGAACCCAGAAGAAAGTGCCCTAGGTGTCTGGTGGATGCTTCACTGGTCGCAGGACCTGGTCTGGTTCTGGTGAGGGGCTCTCAGGAACAGGAACTGATATGTGTCCCCTCCCCAATGCCAGGACGGGATTCTGCTGGGAGCTGTGGGTGCCTATGACTGGAATGGAGCTGTGCTAAAGGAAACAAGTGGAGGGAAGGTCATTCCTCACCGCGAGTCCTACCTGAAAGAGTTCCCCGAGGAGCTCAAGAACCATGGCGCCTACCTGGGTAAGAGTCCAGCAAGAGAGGAGGCTGGCGGGTGGTGGATGAGGAAGCCACCCAGGGGCTGCAGATCCCCCAGCCCATTCATAGGGTGAGGGTCCCTTTTGATTCAGCTCCCAACCCTAAAGAGCAACTCTGGGCGTTAGGTGCTTGGGTCAGAGGCCATTTCCTCTCCAGCCTGGTATCCACCACACCCTCACCACACCCTCACCCTACCCAGTAGGATAAATGATGAGCAGTTCCCCCATAACTTAAGAGTGTTTCCACTGATGCTTCTAGACTCCAGGTCAGCCGTGGGTGTGTGTTTAAAGCTGTCAGCCCTGGCTGGAGTTTCAGCTCACTGACCCCACCTCCCCAAGGCAAAATGCAAGTCGCCTGTGTTAATTTTTTAATGTTCACAATCAAGGCAGAAGCTGCCGCCCATTAAGCACTTTGGAAGTGGACATCTAGAGAGAAGCACAAGTCATTGATCTCACGGTGATAGGGCCCAGCTTCGAGGCCTTAAGCCCCTGGACCCCAGTCACCTCCCAGCTGTGTGGGAGAGGCCACCCTGGCTATCCATGGCTAATTCCCATCTGCCATGGCTTGTTCTTTTCTAAAGGGGCTGAGTCAGAGGGAAGGGCAGCAGCAGGTGACTGTCCAGGGCTCCCATTGTCTCTGGTCTTTCTGAATTTCTGAGTCAACTCTAGTATCATCATTAATGCCTCCTGGGGACAACTGCATGAACATGGGCCATCCAGAGTTGACAGTGGATCTGTCCATGTGTCCATCCTCTCTTTAATGCCCCATCCCATCCCCACATTTGTCTCTCAGCTCTACAGCCACACACCCTGCCTATGACGCTGCCCACGCTGTGGTGACCCCATTTTCCATCTCCAGGTTTGGGACCCTCAGCTGACAACAGGGCAAAATGCTGGAATCAGGACTGTCCTGAAAAATCCAAAGGTGTAGATCCCTAAAAGTTTCTCAACAGTACCTGGCCCTAAGGCCTGGGTTCCATTTGGCTCACAAGGTGTTAAACCTGCCTGCATAGTAAGCACCAGTGGTCGATGCCATCGGAGTGCAGTGGTGATCAGGACACAGCCTCTGCCCTCAAGGTGCTCTGGCCAGTGGGGGACAGAGACACGTGCACAGATCATTATAACACAAGAGAGGGAAGAGATCAGATAAAAGTACAAATAAAGGAGGGAGAGACTAGAGTGCTTGCCTTGGCAAATGCTCAGACAGTGGGAAAGACATCAGAAGAATGAAGGTTAGCACCCCTTTAACTAGAATCCGTCATGCTTTACTGTGCTCCCCCAAGGGCTCAGCACTGCACTGAAAGTGAGGAAACCAAGTAAGAGGCTCATGCCTGGGATCCACGAAGCATTAAGTGGAAAGGCAGGTAACATCAGCGGTGTCCCAGGGCCCCACGTGGTTAATTCCAAATGAGCGGGAGAAACAACGGGGTGGTGTGGTCCAGCTGCTGGCATACACTGGGACCCGTTGAGCGGGAACTGGAGCCTACACCAGGTCTCCAAGGCAGGAAAAGTTCTTAATAAAGCCAAGAAGGGCCAAGCAAGGGAAGGAGGTGTAGAAGTGCTCAGCGATTTCAGGACACAGGAAGCAGACCAAGTGGCTGGAGCAGAGGAGAGGTGTGGGAAAGGGAGGGGAAGGCAGGTTTGAGCAGGCTGGAGCAGGAGGCCTCGAATGCCAGGTTAAGAGGTTTGAGCTCTTTCATGTTGGCAGTAGGGAGCTATTGAAGGTACCCGAGTGAGGGGAGAGCAGGATGAATATCCCCCTGCCCCAGAAGACACTGGTGGGGTGGAGACAGGCTGAAGGACCCTCATGGGGCCCCACTGTCATGCCTTAACCACAGCCACTGCCTCAGGCAGGACCTGAGGGAATGCCTTCTCTCTTCCTCCTCCCTCTGGGAGTCCTCCAGTGAGGACAGTGTCTGAGTTCTCTGCTGGGGCAGAGATCCCTGCTGGAAGATTCCTCCCGATGTGTCCTGAGGAAGAGGGGGAGCTTCAGGGGAAGGAGACTAGGAGGCCTGGCTCTCGACCTCCACAGTGAAGACATTCTATGCATTTCTGGCTCCAGCTCTGCCTGCCTTCTCCCAGGCCTTTAGGGAGGCTGGTCCAGCTTCAGAATGGCCCCACCTGCTAGCCACAGAGCCCCCTGGGAATAGAAGGCACAGCCACAGACAGCTAGAAAGCAGGAAGCTCTATGAGCTTTGAGAGCTGGCCCAGGCCTGCCCCCAGGACCCTCAGTCCCCAAGCCCCATCCCACCTTTCCACCTTCTGAAGAAGCCCAATCAAGCCCTATTTCCCAGAATATACCTCCAGGAGTCAAAACGTTGTGTCTGAAACCAGAGTAGCCCACCCTACTATACCCCACACTCCTGGAAACTGAATCAGCTCATCTGTGTATCCTGCAGCCACTCTGGAAGCCGCCAGTGGGACCCAAGTGACAGTGTTAGACACACACGTGCACACACACACATGCACATATGTGCACACACACGTGCACAGCAGAAGGACCCATCTGTTCCCCAGAAACAGCCCAGGAACTGCCAATAAGGGCTGACACCCATCTAAAAACTGGGGTCCAGTATCCAAGATCATCTGGCAGAAAGTGGGACACTGGAATGCCATCAACTTTGCACACCTGCCAAGACCCCACTTTCAGGAGAGTTGCCTAAATATGCCACACATTCACCTCCTGTGTACCCGGTGGGCAATTCAAGAGTCACAGCAATCAGGCACAGCCATATCATGAACATGGATTGGTGGCCTCTCCAAAAAAGGCCCTGGGAAAAGCCCCTGGGTTTCCATTTCCTTCTCTTTTGTGTGGTCTATGCCTGGGAGCTCTCTCCTTTGAGTCTGCAAAGCTTTGGGGCTGCAAGAAACTCCTAAGACCCCACATAAATACTGGGAACGAAGCAATTCTTTACACCTTAGCAGCCAAAACTCTAGTCACCAGTGAGCCACTCAACAGGGGGTTATGATAATAAAGAGGACACTGGTTGTCCCTGAGAGTGGAGATTGGTGTGAATCTAAAGCAAAGTCTGCCTGATATAAAATGAAGTGTGGCTGAGGCCGCCCAGCTCCCTGCTTCCCCCCGTGCTCATGAGCAGGTGGAGGAGGGATGTACACATCCCAGGTGAGCAGTGTCTTTTAGTGGCCCCATCTGGCTTCCTGTATGCAGAGAGTCCTCTCCACCCTCCAGACCCCTCACCCTGGGAATTTCTGGTGCTCATGAGCAGGTGGAGGAGGGATGTACACATCCCAGGTGAGCAGTGTCTTTTAGTGGCCCCACCTGGCTTCCTGTATGCAGAGAGTCCTCTCCACCCTCCAGACCCCTCACCCTGGGAATTTCTGCCCCGAGTTACCACATCTGCTCAGCCTGCCCCGATCCCACCCCCATCAATGGCCCTTCTTCCAGCACGGCTGAGCCACGCACCAGGCCCTAGCAGGGCCTGCCAAGGACACAGCGCCAGAGACCAGCCTGTTTCCTCCTGTGGCAGGGTACACAGTGACATCGGTCGTGTCCTCCAGGCAGGGGCGGGTGTATGTGGCCGGAGCCCCCCGGTTCAACCACACGGGCAAAGTCATCCTGTTCACCATGCACAACAACCGGAGCCTCACCATCCACCAGGCTCTGCGGGGCGAGCAGGTAATGGAGGGAGAGGCTGGGGGGTCTGATGAATGGGAAAGGTGGCAAGCACAAGCAGGCCAGGGGTGGAGGACGTGCTGGAGTTCACCTCTCCCTCTCAACAGGAACATCCCAGACCCACAGACATCTTTCTGATTGGGGGGCCCGTACCGCATTCACACTGGGGTTGAAGGTGTTTGTCTATGTGGCTACTTACTGCCCTGACTGTCCCCTCCCCTTGAAGCCAGGCCCTGCTCACTGCTACCCAGGAGAACATCTTGCCTCCATCTCACGGACCTTGTCTCTGGTGCATTTGCCATATCCCTGCTCCAGGCTGCCAGCTTCTCTCTGGTCACGTAGCGTTCGGGGCAGCATCTAGGTTATAGCTTCCAGCCTGAGCTGCCAGGGCCCCAGGCATCCTGAAGGGGCAGTCGTGTTCCTCAAACCACCTTCATGCTGCCAGAAGTGGCAGGAGATGTGCATCCACCCACAGCGAAGCCCCACGGGTTCCCAGAACACCAACTTCTCCCCTTTTCTTGGAATGATAACAGTGCAGTATGGCAACCTGCCAATGCCACCATCCCAAGGGAGGTATTTGGTGACCACGCTGTGTTGCTAAGAGTCTCATGTTGGACGGTCATAAATGCAAACTGGAAAGTGATGATAAGAATCATTGGTGGTGAAAAGATCAGGAAAAGGGGTTCTAATCCAAGTCACTTCAATAGCCGAGGAAAACTGTGTCCCTGGGAAGCAACGTGGCTTTTCCAAGGTTATATGGCGAGTCGTAGCCTGAAGCATCAGGGCATCCTGGGCTCAAGCTGATCCCTGTCCAGGTCCTGCCTGCTGTCCCCTGCTCTCCCAAGCTTTCCTGGGCCTGGAACCAGCCCTGCCTCCTGTACCATCTACTGTCCTTGGTAGAGGACATGCTCCTCACTGGGTCTAACCTAAATTTGTCCAGCTGCAGACGCCTCTCTTCCTCTCTCATCGTCCTGTCTCATGGGGTGCTGGTGGCCCTGGCCAGCAACGTCCCTCAACCTCCCCCTTCTGCTCATGCTCCACCCAGGCTGGCTCTTTTGGGAATAGAGGGCTAGACCTTGAAAGCTGGAGGGAATCTGCTGATGAATTTATGACATTTTCCTGCCCAGTTCTACCTCCAACATCCGAAGGAGAAACCGCAGTGCTGAAGGCAGCTAAATTAAGCAGATTCCAAATCCGCGTGACCCACATAGCTGAGGCCCCATATTTAGACAAATTCCACCCCTCCACACTTGCTCTCTGTCTGCCTCTTAATTACGCTACGTAGGCACACCTCTTCCCTCTCCCCAGCCATGTTTCTTATCTCCTCTTCCTCTCTTCTGTATTTTTATCTTTCTGTTCACTTTAAAGCTTTTGATGCTTAAGAATAGATTTCTTTTGAAAACACCATAAGGGCCGGCCCAGTGGCGCACTGGAGAATGCGCCGTCTGGGAGCGCAGCGGCGCTCCCGCCAAGGGTTCGGATCCCATGTGGAGACCGGTTCCCGCTCACTGGCTGAGCGCGGTGCGGGCGCAACACCGAGGGTTGCGATCCCATTACCGGTCAGTAAAAAAGATAAAAAGGAAAAAAAAAAAAAAAAGAAAACACCATAAGCCAGGAGATGACCTAGGAGGGAGAGTCATGGGCAAGGGTGTCAGACAGACCAGCTTCGCCGCATGACCAGAACTTGGGCAAGCTACTCGAATTCTCTGAGCCTTGGTTCCTTCTTGTAAAACGAGGACGACTATCTCTCCTAAGCAGCGCAGCACTCACACAGCTAATGCAAGGCTGTGAAGCATTTCACACCAGGCCTGCCTGTGGGCGGGCGCTGTCTCCATTCCTAAGCAAACTAGTAAGCGTGTATTGAGTACTTGATCCAATAAGCATGTACTGAGTGCTGCCTATGTGCCGGGCAGGCGTGGTACCCAGGCCTGGAGGGCACACAGCAAGCTCAGTGCCCACCTCCGTGAGGCTCCCCGTGGAGGGAGCAGGGACTGGTGGGAGGAGTGTGGGGTCTGGGGGTGCATCGAGGAGGGGCACCCATTGCAAGGAGTGGAGTGGGCAGGTCACGAACAGCTTCTAACAGGAAGTAAAGCTTCAGCTGAGACCTGAGGGATGAGGGCATTTGTTATCTGGGTAGGGAGGAGGGGAGAGGGGTACAGGCAAGAGAAAAGCCTGTGCAGAGGGAAGCCCAGAACTCAGCCAGGGCCTGCAGCTTTTGGAAAAGAGAAACAGCTGGGTACGGCAGGAGCTGGGAGCGCAGTGTGGGGAGCAGGGGGTGGTGGGACAGAGGCCAGGGAGGGGGGCAGGAGCAGCAGGGTCACACTGAAGAGTTTAGACTGTATCCCAAAAGCAAGGATGCATCATGGCCAGCTGTCAGAGGCCACTCTGACTGTCATGGGGTGGACTGGAGAGGCCAGCCAGGAAGCTAGAAGGCCCTCTGGAGGGCACCTCGCCTAGGGTAGGAGCAGCAGGGAGCAGATGGTGTATTGACATACACCAGGCAGGACTTGCCAGTAGATGTGCAGGGGAGAGGTGGAGGGTGGAGCCAGAGAGGACCTCAGGGTTCTGATGGGGGGGGATGGTGCCCTCACCAAAGTGGGGGGCACTGCACCCCAGATGGAAGAGGAACACAGCGAGTGTTTGGATTCTAAAATCATAATTCACCATCTAAGATGCTAATCCCAGAGTAATTTGTAACATTAAAAATCGAAAATGAGGGCCGGCCGGTGGCTCACTTGGGAGAGTGTGGTGCTGACAACACCAAGTCAAGGGTTAAGATCCCCTGACTGGTCATCTTTATATGGGGAAAGAAAAAAAAAAAAACACGAAAACGAGCTAACTGTCCAACAATAGAGGATTGATTAAGTACATTATGGTACACGCATAATTTGGAGTATTATGGATTCACCAGTGACCATGTAGAGAGAGTATAATAGTCATGGAAAAAATGCTCACGACACAGTTTTATTAAAAAATCAATGTACAAACACATATATGTGCATGATCCTGGTTTGTAAAAATAAAAACCTACGTACACACATACAAATAGGCAGCACACCTCAGGGAAAAAAAGACTAAAAGAAAATACACTAAAATATTAATGCTAGTTATATATGGACATCGGGACTATGCATAACTTGTTTTCTTCTCTGTACTTTTCTTTGCTTTTTGCCATTTTATGTCACTTACAAACAATAAATGACCATCAATACGATTAAATAATGGAAGGAAAGAAGGATGAGGGAGGAGATGGACAACAGAAGGAGAAGGAAGGAAAGACAAAGGACAAACTGAAAACAGGGAGAGCAGAGAAAGAGAGGGCATGAGGAGGGAGGACAAGCTGCTCGCCAAAAATTCTGAGTCAAAGGGTGACCTCGTTCCTGTCCCCGGCAAGGCGAGGGCTCTCACCTGCGTGAGGTGGTTGGCCCCACTCCATGCCCCTCTCCCATCCGTGTGCCACAGATAGGCTCTTACTTCGGGAGTGAGATCACCTCGGTGGACATTGATGGGGATGAAGTGACTGATGTCCTGCTGGTGGGCGCACCCATGTATTTCAGCGAGGGCCGCGAGCGGGGCAAGGTGTACGTCTACAACCTGAGACAGGTACTGCTGGGTGGGGCAGGGCAGCTTCTCAGGGGCACCCGATTCATGCTTCGACTTGGGTGACTGCGAGGGAAACTGGGGTACTAGAGAGGCCGGTACCCACCTGCCGGAGCCAGGCCAGGGGAGAAGACCGACCTCCTCTGTCGTGGGGCTTATGGGGCCAGAGGGGGTTCTGGGCTAATGGAGTGGAGAGAGGATGCTGCAGTAGCAGACAGAGGGAATCATGACCCTGGGTGCCCTGCCCGGTGCCCCTGAGACTTTTCTGTCCCTGGTTTTGCAGAACCGGTTTGTTTATAATGGAACGCTGAAGGATTCCCACAGTTACCAGAATGCCCGATTTGGGTTCTCCATCGCCTCGGTTCGTGACCTCAACCAGGACTCCTACAACGATGTGGTGGTGGGGGCCCCTTTGGAGGACAGCCATGGGGGTGCCATCTACATCTTCCACGGCTTCCAAGGCAGCATCCTGAAGAAGCCCAAGCAGGTAAGCCTCCCCTGGGAGGTGGGGGGTGGCACAGGACTGTAGGTAGCTTTTGTGTGGTCCTATGGTTCAGGGATTCCAATCTGTCCTAGCTATACTTGCTTTGAGTCAAAATTTTGGAATGGGTGCATTCTATCCTCAGGACCTTCTGATGCCCCCTTTTGGCACCCTCTCCCTGCTTACTTTCATCACCCCAACAACAAATCCCAGGCCCCAGAACCTCACTCCCCTGCACATGCATTCATGCAACTCACCGCAAGTGCACAACTCCTGAGCCTGGGCTCACTGTTTTCTGGAAAACTCACTCACCCCCAAACTGACCCATCTCAGGTCCCATCCCTTCAGGTCACATATTGTATTAGTAAGATAGTCTAATAAATATACCAAGGTTAGAGATCCTGGTGGGTTACCTGCCAGGTAACACGTATTTACACTTCACGAGGAACTCTTTTAAGACAATAGATTTAATCCAATAGTTTAAACAATATTTTAATCCAAAAGGATGACTTTAATGGTAGGAATTTCAGGTGCTACATATGTCTCCTCCCGAGGAGGAGACAGCTTTGGGCTGGGGAAGTTTCTTGATGGTTTCAAACAGGCTGTCCTGTGACTCCCCACGGTGTCTGTCCCTTGGGGCTGCCCTGCCTTGCCTGTGCTCATAGTGCACAGCCTGCTTTTCCTTCCACTCCCTGCAGAGAGTCACCGCGTCAGAGCTGGCTCCCGGCCTCCAGTATTTTGGCTGCAGCATCCATGGACAACTGGACCTCAATGAGGATGGGCTTGTCGACCTGGCCGTGGGCGCCCTTGGCAACGCTGTGCTTTTGTGGTTGGTTCCCCCACTTTTCCTGACTCTAGGGCTCTCCTGAGGATCATGATGGATACAGAGTTTTAAACATATGCTTCAGCTGGGCTGGCCGGTTATGCAGTTGGTTAGAGCATGGTGTGATAACACCAAGGTCCAACGGTTCAAATCCCCGTACTGGCCAGCCACCAAAAAAAAGTGTTCAAAGACATGCTTCAGGATCTTTGTCTCTGCCATTAACCATTGTCAGCCAAACTCACCCTGTCCCTATCCCATCTTGATTACAAATTTCCTTTTTACGAAATCACTGTAAAATTTATCTTGAAATCCAAGATAAACTCTTGAATTTGCCCTAAAAGTTTTGGCTACTTGGGCATTTCTTCCATTTCAGAGTTTCAAGATCCCTCTTTTCGATAGATTTCTAGGACTTTAGAACAATTTAGTGTCCAAAAGCCCCTCTTGAATTTGCCCTAAAAGTTTTGGCTACTTGGGCATTTCTTCCATTTCAGAGTTTCAAGCTTCTTAGAGGGGCAAGTTGAGCATATTTTTACCAGCTGGAGGATCTTTTCTCTCCCCTAGCGTGAAAGAATGTTTATGTGATACAGAGATTTCTTTCCTCCAAACCCCTTCTGACTTTTTGCTTCCTTTACTCAGGGCCTTATTTTAAAGCTTTCTTAAAGCCCATATGTTTTACCATGTGTTGGCTACTTTTAGCCAAAAAATTTTTAATCTCTGACTTTTTGCTTCCTTTGCTCAGGGCCTTATTTTAATGCTTTCTTAAAGCCCATATGTTTTACCATGTGTTGGCTACTTTTAGCCAAAAAATTTTTAATTTGAGCTTTTTTTCGTATATGTTAATTAGATTTTTATCATGCATACAATAATTTACAGAAAATTTGTACAATAAAGAAAAAAATCCCTCAGGGTTCCATCACCTCAACATTACCACTATTAACATATGGGCATGTTTCCTCCCAATCATTTTTCCTCCTGCATATTTTATATAAATGCAATCATATTTTTCATATAACTTTTAAAAGGCATTAAACAGAGATGTCATATGACTTCACAGGGAGAATAAAAGAGGAGAAAATGTACTCCTGGTCCTCAAGAATATTATGACCCAATGGGGAAATGTCTTCATTTCCTAGAAAATAGAGCCCGAGGCAGGAGCTTCTGTGTGCAAACTTTGGGAGCAGGTTCAATCCCAGAAGCAGAAGTGCAGCAGGACAGGAGGAGAGCAGATACAAGAGGTGCCGAGTTGAGCCCGCCAGCTTCCCCATAAGAGTGGCACCATGTTCGGCATCTCAGCATCTCCAGAGAGGTGCTTAAGACGGCCCATTGCAGGGGACAACAGAGGAGCAGCATACCTGCTGGCTCCTTCAGACTCCCTGTTTGCTGTGGTCAAAGCATCCACTGCCCCACATTTCTAGTGGTGTCCCCTGGCCCTCTAAGCAGCACGGGGAAGCCAGCGTCTCTGCAGTTCCAGCCCAGCCAGTGCACAGGCACATGGTCTGTCTCTCTCTGAAGGTCTGTGCCAGATGTGGGGGCTCTTATTAGGTCTCTGGTGGTGGTGACAGCAGCAATAGCAGCCTGGGCTGGAAAGGCATAGTAAAGGCATTTACTGTGTGGGTGCCAGCCAGGAAAACAGACATGCAACCAAGGCCCAGGTAGGGGGTAGACGTGGCCTAGCAAGTGTTTAGGGGGACGCATAAACTTCCTTACAGGAAACAAGATATACACGAGCATACACACACCAAGAGAATCAGATGTAAACTCTAGTTTTGAAATTCTCCAGGTGATTCCAATGGGCAGACAAGTTTGAGAACCACTGATGGAACCTGTGATATTCCCACAGCACTCCACACTGTCAAAGGACATTCTCACTCACCTCCTTTGATTCTCACCATCCCATCAGAGAGGTCACAGGACCTGCAAGTCCAGTGAAGAACCAATGGAGCCAAGATCCAAATCCACCCGTTCACGCTACAGCACCGAGAGTGAGGGAGAGCAGGGTATTGGCACAGGCAGTCACATCAAAACTCTGACACATCTAATCACACTGAGCCTATTTCTTTTTATATAAATGCATCGTTTGGAGAGGCAATAGTTTTCTTTAATAATTATGTTTAACTTAGACCAATATAAGATTAAATTTGTAGTACTTCCCTGGCTACCCTTGTGGGACAGTGTCGGGGTGCATGGGTGGGGAATCCCTGGAACAGTGGTTCTCTACTTGGCCACACACTGGAATCACCTGGGGAGCTTTAAGACCTTGCTCTTCAAAGTGTGGTCCACGAAGCATCAGCATCACCTGAGAGCTTGTTAGAAATGCAGAACCTGTGACAACCTATTGGATCAGAATCTGCATTTTAACAAGATCCCTAGGGGATGTGCAAACATATTAAAATTTCATCTAAAATGTATTAATGCCTGATTCTGATTTAATTTGGCCTGGGGTACAGCTTAGGCAGCAGGCTTGTCTAAAGCTCTCCAGTTAATTCTAATGTACATCCAGGAACCACTGCTGTAACAGGTGCTGAGGGGGGAAGAGGAAGCCAGTAAGGTCTGCAGCAAGTACTGCCCCTGGGGAACTGAGGAAGGGCTGCCTGGAGGGGCTGTGAGGTTGCTGAGCCCTCATCCACCTTGCCTGTTTTGCCCAATCCTTTGACATCCAGAGCCCCTCCCTGACTCCCACCTCACCCCTCCCTCCCCCACCCTCTAGTGATGGTTTTGCAGCTTCTGCTTCCACCTTTCCCTCTTGGTCACAGCAGGGTGGCCCGCGCCCCTGCCGCACCCCAGCTCACTGGCCCGTCTCCGGCAGGTCCCGCCCCGTGGTTCAGATCAATGCCAGCCTCCATTTCGAGCCATCCAAGATCAACATCTTCCACCGGGACTGCAAGCGCAGCGGCAGGGACGCCACCTGCCTGGCCGCCTTCCTCTGCTTCACGCCCGTCTTCCTGGCACCCCATTTCCAAACAGCAACTGTCGGTAAACCAGGCCTCTCCATTCCCACACCCCCCAGCTCCAGTCTTTCCTGTGGACATGCGATCACTCTGTTTCCACGCCTGGGCTTTCCCTGAAATGGTGTCTAAGTGCCGGGTCACACCAAGAGCCACCTTGGATGACTGCTGGATGCCCATTCCATGCTCTAGTTCCAAGGGTCGAAGGGGATAGCTTGCCAGGGCAAGGATGGCAGTGAGCAGGGTGACCAACAAGTGAGAGGTCAGGGGAAGAAGGAAATAGTCAGGGTGCAGAGTTTGGATCGAAACATGGGACTGAAGGCAGCGGAGCAAACTGGGGTGTGAGAACCCAGAAGTCAGTCTGGATGCAGAGGAAGAGTCAGGCCCAGGAGCCCAGCAGAGGGGGAAACCAGGGGCCAGGCAGATGAGCACCCGGTAGCAGTGTCACCGCTGAGAAGTGGGTGTGAGTCTGGACAGGGCAGTCTCCCCCTGCAGGCCCATCCCTTCCAGCTAAGGCTGGAGACAGACACCTGCTCATGACAGCCCTGGTCCCAGGTGGCCCAGGAAGTGATGGCTGCAGGTTCTGGGACCTGGATCGGCCAGCACAGGAAGTGGAGACTGCAGATAGCATCTCAGCCAAGAAGCAGAACCAAAGGAGAGAAGGATGTCTCAGGGGGAAGATGAGAGCAGAGGAGGGCCTGGGTGGCTGCGCCTGTCTCTTTGGACTTCCATCTGTGAAGGCCGGCTGGTTAGCTCAGTTGGTTAGAGCATCATGCTGATAATACTAAAGTCCAGGGTTGGATTCCTTTACCAGCCAGCCACCAAAAAAAAAAAAGAAAGAAAGAAGAGAGATGCAAGGACCTGGAGCACCCAGAGGAGACTGGCTGGGGTACAGAAGGGACTGAGCCTTTCCTAGTATTGGCAAAAGATTGTTCTAGTTGAAGAGGAGGAGGCTGCAGGCCTTAAACCCCAAAACAAAGTCACAGGTTTGAGGAGCTGGTGGGGAGGACCTAGTGTGAGAGGAACCAGCCCTAACAGGGATCCTAGAGGCGAGGGCAGGGCAGGGAAGGTGCAGTTGACGTCAGCAGGGGCTCAGTAGGGATCCCCCTCATCCTGTCTCCTCTCCTCCTTCCCCCTCCCTTTCTTCCTCCTCCCCCTGTCTCCCTCTCCTCTTTGCTCCCTTCCTTTCCCCTCTCTTGTGCAGTCACTTGCTCTTTGCATGGGAGTTTCCCAGCTCGTGAGGGGAGAGGAGCAGCTCTTTCCTGGACAGCCTGGGGGGCTTCCTGGAGGAGGCAGACTTCCCAGAGGCTATCTTGAAAGAGAGGCAAACAGTCTGGGTGGGAATGGGGCTCCAACTTCTTGCCCTCTGTCCTCCTCCAGGCATCAGATACAATGCCACCATGGACGAGAGACGGTACACACCGCGGGCCCACCTGGACGAGGGTGGGGACCGATTCACCAACAGGGCTGTCCTGCTCTCCTCCAGCCAGGAGCACTGTGAAAGGATCAGCTTTCATGTCCTGGTGAGCCTGATGCCCAGCCACCAGCAAGGCCCAGGCTCCTACAGGGTGGGGACACAAAACTGGAGGAGGCACCTGCCATGGGAGAGGCGAGAGCCCAGCTGATACCAGGCTGGTTCTGAGCCCCCAGCGGACCTCTGGAGGCCAGACAGAGGGAGGCAGGACAGTGTTCTGGACCTTGGCCACCCCATACCCCACCTCATGCCCCAGAGAAAAGGCCACTGGGACACACTACCTACCACGCCACTGTACCCTCTTCCAAAACCCCTTCTTCCCCAGCTCTCAGGTGCTCAGGGTTTCACTAAGCAGGGGATGAAATCTAAGGAGGGAGGTGGGTGCATCGAGGTCTAGCAGAGAGAACTGGGGTGCACCCATGGGGGCCATGGCTCCAAAGGGAGGGGTAAGCAGGCCTCGGCTGGAAACAAAGACCAGGTAAGGTGGGCAGTGGCATGGATAAGCCGGGAGGAGGAACAGAGTGGTGTCGGGAGCAGGGTAGTATCCTGGTGCCCATTTTATGGCCAAGAAAGAGAAGTTCCCCTCCATTCAGAAACACCAAATACCCTGGCCACAGCCCCAGGTTCAGAGATGCAAGCAGGGACACTCAGAGCCCACTGGCCCTGGCTGTTCGATGGCCAGAGGTCAGAGAAGTCCTGTGCTGCCCCTTCTGATAAGCGTGTGCGGTGGTCCTTACAGTGAGGCCCGGCACCCGCAGCGGCCTCCTCACCCGAGAACTTGTTAGGAATGCCCATTGTCAAGCCCCATCCCAGACCCACAAACTCAGAAACTCTGGGGGTGGCCCAGCACCCTGTGTGTTGATAGGGCCCCAGGAATTCTGATGCCAGCTCAGGTTGGAGAGCTGCTGTCCTAGCACAAAGAAGCCACTCATGTTGGGATTTGCAGGTTCCGTGGGGGAGGATTTTTAGGCAGCTCTGAGCATCCTTCGTTTACTGTCTGTACTCAGGACCCACCTGAATCGCCCCTAACCTGTTCACGTGTTTGTTCACTCACTCAACATTAGTAAGCCTAATCCCAGTGGTAGGACTGTGCTGAGAGGCTTCTGGCACTGTCAGATGGCTCAAATGCCTCATGAGAAGTGACAATAACAGGTCTAAATGGGGCGGGAGGGCAAGGGGGAGGGGGTCAGTCCTGCCAGGCTTCCCGGGCACCGAGGTATCGGGTGATGGGAGCCCAGCCCTGAAGGATGAGCAGGAGCTTGGTGAAATGTCCAGGCAGCCGGGTTGGCATAAGCTGAGGTCCCTTTCCATGTGGCACACTCTTTCCACCAGGAACCTCCCCCCACCGCAGACTCTTCTGAAAGGCCTCCAGGGCAGCTGCCCTACTTAGAAAAGTGGAAGTTGTATCTCAGTGTCAGGGGTCTTGGCCCAGAAAATGCTGCTGTCTCCTACCTCACCCCTCTCATCTCCCCCACAGGACACTGCTGACTACGTGAAGCCAGTGACCTTCTCGGTTGAGTATTCCCTGCAGGACCCCGAGCACGGCCCCATGCTAGACGACGGCTGGCCCACTACCCTCAGAGTCTCGGTACATGCTGGCACGCGGGGCACGCACCTCTGGCACATACCCCACCCCCAGCCCCACCTCCTCCCCATAGCCCAGACCTTCCCCTGCCACGCCTTCCCACCTCCTGTCCCAGCAAACCCACAACGGGGCTCCTTCCCTCGTGGCCCCAGCTGAGTATTAGCAGAACAACTCCTTGAGGGTAAGGACCGGGCCTTCTCCTGTTGGAGGTTCCCCCACATCCCCAGCACAGGGAAGCCCTGAGTAGGTGCTGGAGAAATACAGAAAATCACAGGACCAGAAGGGACCTGAGATCTCAATCACGCGCCTCCCTCCTTTACAGATAAGGACACGGAGGCCAGAGAGAGTGATTCAACCACTTACCGCCTGATCTTCTGCTTGTTGAATGACTAACTAACTGATTAACAGACAATGTTCCAGCCCGCTTCTAAGTATTCCAGAAAGAAGTGTATTTTAGCCTCATCATTGGCTATGCCCCCTTCCTTCCACCACATTTTCTAATCCCTGGCTCTAGGGGCATTCGAATTTTCTGGTATTTAACTCTCAGATGCTCCCTGCATCTTCAACTCCATATAAATCCCACTCAAAGAAAATGTCAGACTGTTATCAACTCTGGCCAAGCTGTGTGGGGAGAGCTGGCAATTTGTAACATGGATATCTAATGCCTGAACCTTGAGGATTTAGGAACAACTCTAAGACATACTACTGTGCTCTTAAGCCATGACCTGTGAGGTCCAGCTGCTGAGCAACGTCTCTATGAATGATACACAGTCCAGCCAGCAAACGGTTTCAGAATTACTCAAGTTTGCCCTTGGATTTCTCCAGCACCGCCCCAGGCCTGTAGAGTCCACAGCAGTGCTGCTTTAAATCCCCTCGCCTCTCATTCGTGACCATCATCCCCCACAGCTCCTCCACATTCCTCTCCGCAGACCTCCCACATTCCACTGCCCAACCCTGGTCCTTCACACCTTCCCCCTTTTCTTCCAAGTCTGTTTCACTGGGCTGGCAAAGCTGGAATCTTCTTCAGTGAGCCAGGACAGGGAGAAAGCTGGGCACACTAAGTCATTAATATTTTTTCCCATCACAGTGATTACAAAGCCACTATAGCAAATGAAGGAATAGATGTCACTCATGCTACAAGCATGTTGAAGCCCACTACTCGGATCAAAATGCAGGGTAGGGGCCGGCCCGGTGGCACACTGGATAAGTACGCCGCTTGGGAAGCGCAGCGGTGCTCCCGCCCGAGGGTTCGGATCCCACATACAGACCGGTTCCCGCTCACTGGCTGAGCGAGGCGCGGGAGCAACACCGAGGGTTGTGATCCCGTTGCCGGTCCCCGGTCCGGTACGGGGGCAACACTGAGGGTTGCGATCCGTTGCCGGACACGGAAAAAGACAAAAGACAAAAAAAAAAAAAAATGCAGGGTAGTCTCTGCTCAGACACTGGTGGTATCAGTGCAAGGTGGCGATAAGAGTCATAGGTTGAAGACAGGAGTGAGTTCAGAGGAAGTATTCATATAATCAAGCAATCAGATGACAGGGCAGGGGGACTTCCTGGAGGAGGTGGCTTTTGGCTGGACTCAAAAGGATGGACAGAATTCAGACATGCAGAGATGGGGAGGACAGGCCTTTATTCCAGGAGAGCTGACAGAATAACCAAGGCATGGAAAAGAGAAAAAGTCGGGTGAAGGGATATGTGAAGAAAAGGTGAGAAACAGCTTAAAAAGAGAGTCTGGGGCACTTTATGGAGGGCTCTGAATAGCAGCTAAGTTTCTAAAAATTCTTATTAATCTGGATTTCAAGCCCCATCTAGAAACATTCTTCCCATCACTTCTACAAATTCTTACTTAGCATCTACTAAACGCCTAGCACTGTTTTAATACCTGGCTTCTTGGGGGAGTGAGCCATTCCATATAATTGAGGACAACACTTGCTTATCACGTTAAATTATTCTGTTTAATCAGCTGGATAGAAATTTTTCTGAGGATTATTATATAGTTTTCAAACTTCTTAAACAGTATGCTGGGCAGGGGCAGGGAGTATTTTACTGGAGACTCGAACTCACCAGGATAAACATCAGTGCTACGATACGGCGAAGTCCCATCTTGAACTGTGTCCCTGTACTGAATGGCCCCTCTCTGCCCACTTCATATGGCTTTGCTGTTGTCTTCGTTGGCTGCCATTGCAATATGCCTGCTTCTAGCTGCAAATCTACCATGCTGAGGGGCGTGCTTGATAGAAACACTCCAAAAGTAAGGGCACATGAGTCTGAGTGAGGGCTGGAGAGCTCTTTGAGAAAAGTTAATGAATTTAAAATATGTTTGGCCTTTGGGACACCTGTTTCCCTCCCCTGGGTTTGGGCTGTGTTGTGACAGTTAATGCCCCTCAGCTCCGGGCTTGAATATCCAGCTGCCTGCTGAGCATCTCCCCCTGAAGGGTCACAAGCACTACAAACACAAATGCCCCCAAACTGAACCCCTCAGCTTAACCCCTGCATTTATAAATGAATGGCATGCCCATCCTTCCAGACACCTAAAAAAGAAACTCAGCCAACACCTGGGCCCCTTACTCCCTTAGCCATGACAACTTCCGGGCCCTATCATCCCACCTGAGGTCATTAACCTGTTTTCTCCTTCAAACGCCCAGTACCACACTGATGCCATCATCATTGCTTGCCTGAATGTTGCAGCAACCTCTAGCCTTGACCCTTCCAGTCCATAATGAAGGCAGCCAGAGGGAGCCTTTAATTGGCATGTTAGGCAGGACACTCCCCTGCCTAAAGCATTTGGTGACTCCTATAAGTTGCAAGGCATGACCCTGAGGCCCTGTAAGAACTGTCCCCTGCCTATCTCTTCATCTCCACCCAGTTTCTTACTACAGCAACACTGAACTACCCATATTTCCCAAACTCACCGTGCCCGCTTCTGCCTCAGGACCTTTGCACGGCCTTATCCTTTCTCCTGGGCTCCCCCTGGTCCACCCAGCAAACTGGATCATCCTTCAGAACTCTGATCTACTGTCACTTCCTTGAAGGCTTCTCTGACCAGCCAAAATAACTGTTTCTTTCCTCTGCCTCTTCTATTCCTCATACATATTTTTACTTTTCTGGGTTTTTGCACATTTTACATTATAGTTATTTGTTCACACATCAATCTTCCCCATGAGCTGATGGCAAAAGCTGGATCTTCCTTCTGATATCCCCAGTACCAAAGACCTTGCCCCACACGCAGTAGATGATCAGTAAATGTTGGCCAGAACTGCTTTGCTGGGTAGCGGGGAGTTCTGTGCTACCAGCTTGGTTAAGAACTGAAGGGGAGCCCACAGGAGCTCAGTTTTGAGTCATGTCTTAAACAGGGAAGTATCTATGCAAACTCCTGAGAAAAAGCAGTGTGGTGTCTGGGGAAAGGGCAGAAAAGACAGAGCCCGTGTCTAGTGTGGTAGAGACAGATGCCTGTGTGCTCTGCGGGGAGGGGCAGCCCGCAGCAAAGACGAAGGCTGGAGGCTGCGGGTCCCCCATCCAGCCACCCATACCTGGCTTTCCCTGGCCCAGGTGCCCTTCTGGAACGGCTGCAATGAGGATGAGCATTGTGTCCCTGACCTCGTGCTGGATGCCCGGAGCGACCTGCCCACGGCCATGTGAGTTGTCTCCTCTCCACCCCCACTCGTACCCCTCCCCCTTTGCTGCTGGTAACTCTGGGTCTCCCTGCTTGTCTTTCTCATGATTTCCTGCATGTCTTTCTCATAGGCAGCATGGATCAAACACTAAACTGGGAGCCTGGGTTCTAGCCCAGTCTCTGCCTCTAACTCCTGTGTGACCTCAGGCAAGTTCCCTCCCCTCTCTGGGCCTCAGTTACCTCCTCTGTAAAATGAATGCTACTAGTCTAATGCAATCTCCTCCAACATTGTCTAGAAGAGGAACCCTTTCTTTAGAGCCCACACTACAAAACAGATAAAAGGTGGAGACAGGGGACCTGGAGTTCTGTGTGCTCGTCCTCCAACTTTCAGACTAGGTGACCTCTAGGGTCCATTGGCTGAGCACCTGGGCTTCCCAATCCTTCTGATGGAAAGATGCTAGACTGGAAGAAACGAACTAGCATACAAGGAAAAACAAGGAACAGTATATTTTAAATCTGTATATTTTCCAATAATTTATGTTCAACTTTTATCTAACTATGAGATAATTTAGATAGAAGATATATATACCATGACATAGACAATAAATAGAAATAGCACATCCAAACCTTGTAGAAAAATGAAGAAGCAAATATTCTAGCCATCTAGGTTAATAATTAGAATTGTATCTACATTTAGCTCTGAGCTTCCTGGCAGCCAAGGCCAAAAGGGAAATATGATGAATGAAGACATAACACATGAGTAGTAAGGCCAGATAACAGCTCTGGGTTCAGGGGAGAGTACAATCTGTGGTGGGGAGACCAGGGGCTTTGGGGACAGGACGTGTTCTTGGTGGGTGAGCTCTTTCCAGCCCTGCCATCTACTTCCCTTCTTCTCCACCTCCGTGGGCAGAGGCCAGCCAAGTGCCCCAGACCCATCTCTCTGCTCCAACCCTGGGCCTCTGCTCTGCCCCTGCATACCCCATTTCGTCTGCCTGATCCCTGGTGGCCTCTTTCCCACAGGGAGTACTGCCAGAGGGTGCTGCGGAAGCCAGCGCAGGACTGCTCCGCATACACACTGTCCTTTGACACCACGGTTTTCATCATAGAGAGCATGCGCCGGCGGGTGGCGGTGGAGGCCGTGCTGGAGAACAGGGGCGAGAACGCCTACAGCACAGTCCTAAATATCTCACAGTCAGCAAATCTGCAGTTTGCCAGCTTGATCCAGAAGGTAAGACCTCCATGGCCTGCCGGGACTGCCTGAGTGAAGGACAGGGAAGGATCCTTTCCATCTGGGCCTGCGCTGAGGGGACACCCGTGCCAGCCCAGTGGGGGCCCCAGCTCAGACAGGCCAGGGCAGCCTGGTGGTGTTTCCCCTTAAGCTCAGCCACCCTTTTCTCGGTGGCCAACAGTGTGTTCAGAGTCTTGCACTAGACAGTGGCAGGAGGGTTGGGGGTGTTGGAGCTGCTGCCTCTCCACCCGCCCAATGGCTGAGGCCAAGGCTTGGGGAGAGCCCTCTGACCCGGGGAGCAAGCCCTGCCCTGGAGAGAGGCGGAATACAGCCCCAGAAAAACCCCTCCCAGCCCCCGCCAGGAGGTCAGCCCACCACCTGCTCACTGATTTTCCGGATTACAAAGCCATGCAAGGCAGATGTGCGGTCACTCAAAGGGCCACAAAGCCAGAGGGAGCAGAATAGCTGCAGACCCGAGTCTCCTCCACCCGCAGGGGGAAGGGCACAGGCTCAGGAGTCTGCTGCCAACCTTACCTCCCGTCTCTGGGCCTCAGCGTCCCCACCTGCAGATGGGATGATGAATCCCACGTCCAGCTGCTCCAGAGGGAGGGACAAAGCATAGATGAGCACCTGCCCATTCTCTCCACAACCCGGCAGCCACCGAGTGCGTCTCCGCCCTTGAGTCATGCCGGGCACGATGAACCAAGCCGCACCCCAGACTCTGGGACCTCTGTGGTCCCAGAGGTCAGACCTGTGCTCCAGGCTTCAGCACGGGCGGTGGGGATGGGGTGGCCGTGGGGGTGGGGAGGGGCAAGCTGGAGAGAGAGTGACTCCAGACGTGGGTCTCAGGCCCTGCCTAACTACTGCTGCGATGTCCCCCACCCACCCCCAGGAGGACTCCGACGGCAGCATCGAGTGCGTGAACGAGGAGAGGAGACTCCACAAGAAAGTCTGCAATGTCAGCTACCCCTTCTTTCGGGCCAAGGCCAAGGTTGACGCTGGGGGCAGTGTGAGGGAGGTACAGGGCGGGGGGAAGGGACAGGGATGGGCACTGGGAGGCCCAGGGAGGCACGAGCAAGGGAAGTGAGCAGAGAAGACTAGGGAGGGGTGGAGACGCCTGAGCGTGGCTTTTAAGTACACTCATTTTTTCTCCCATGAAATGACTTTCAAATGACCTTATTAGTGAACCATCCCCAGGGCTGGGAGTCTACCCCAGGAGAACACAGGCCCCCTGTACCTCGGAGGGCTCCCACTCCCACCCCGCCACGCTCCCACCACCTCTTGGCTGATCCCGCTGTGCTTTGTCCTCACCAGTTTTTCACATTTTCAGCCTCTGCCACCAGGCTGTGTACGGGGAGGGACAGGGAGAGGAGACACATCTCTTGAGCACCTACTGACCGTGTGCATAAGAGCACACGTGAGAAGAAGGTCGGTGTGTGCAGGGAGAAGCACAGCAGCTGGGAAGGGAGAAGGAGGTAGATGTTGGTCATGGGGGGTGTTTGGCCACCAGCCCTGGGCAGTGGGCAGCCACACAAGTTTCTGGAGCAGAAGAACTATTTGAGGCCAAGCTGCTTGTAAATGGCAATCAGAGAGAGGGGAGCTTGGGGCAGGAGCCGGTTAGACAGCAGCAGTTTTCCCAGGAGTAGGGTCTACAAGGCTGGGGAAGGGGGCAGAAATGGGGGCAGGGATTAGGGCTCCTTGGGAAAGAACCTCCCCAGTGAGAGTAAGTCAAGGGTGTAGTTTCCAGATCAAGACACCGACAAGCCCAGGAGCTCTGCAGTGAGGACATGGGGAAAGAGAACACAAGCTTCCCCACCCACCCCCAGCCACTCCCTGGGGAAAAGGGCCCCTGAGGTCTCCAGGGAAACTGCAGGAGAGTCAGACCTGGGGAGAGCAGAAGGAGTCTGTGCAAAGCTCCAGTAATGCTCCTGGGGTGGGGAGGGGAGTCAGATGTCTAAGGCCACAGTCGGGGGACCCCCGTCCCACCCCTGGGTGAAGGGCAAGGGGAGCAGTGTGGCGGGAGGGCTGCTCGACGAGGAGGCAGCTGCCTTATTGACCTGCTGGAGGGCCCTGTCCTCACCCCACTCCCCACCTGGACACAAAAACAAGGAGCAGACGAGGCGGCCCCTGTCCTGCAGTGTGTAGTGACAGCCATCTCCCCTCCTGCCATCAAGGCCCCTCCACCCTGAAAATCCTGCTGAAAGAGTGTAAAGCTGGACTGGCTGCCTTCCAGTTACCTTTCATAAAAACAAGAGAGGAGGCAGGGGGCTGGCCCTGAGAAACCCACCCCATGGCAGGAGCTGTTGTCTTTGGCTGTGTCCCCCTCAGCACCCCCCAAGCTCAGCTTATGTTCTCCAGCACCTGGTCCTACCTTTCCCCAGCCCATCCCCGGTCAGCAGGGCCCACCAAAGCCTGGGGGCAGGGGGCTATGGAGGGCAGGCCAGGGTGGGTCCAGGCGCTGCCCAGATGTGCAGTTCCAACCGCCCCAGCTCAAGCAACCACTTCCTTGCAGGTGGCTTTCCGTCTAGATTTTGAGTTCAGCAAATCCGTCTTCCTGCACCACCTGGAGATCCAGCTCACCACGGGCAGGTCAGGGCCACACCTGCTTCTTCTCCCTCCCAGCTCGCTATTCCTGCGTCCTGCTCTTGCTCCATCCTGCCAGTCCTGCCACCAGCAACTGTCCCTCCCCACACTGAATCCCACTGCCAAGCCCTGTCCCCCACTGTCCCAACCTGGTGGGGCCTGGGGTCAGTCACAAGTGTGGGCCAACTGCTGCCTGCTGCATGGCCACCATTCTCCATTCTTCAACAGCTTGGATATAAATACTGTGATGATGCCAGTCCCTTACCTTTGTATGGCACTTCATAGAGCAGTTATTTAAAAACTCTACAGTTATAAACCACCATACATACAATGTGTCAGTCAGTCCTCACAGCAGCCCCACAGGATCAGCAAAGCAGAGGTCATTCCCCACCCTCCAAGTTATAGGTAAGAAAAGGGAGGCTCAGAGAGGGGGTGAGTTTCCCCACGACACACAGCAGGTGAACAGTACCACTAGGAGCCGAACGCTAGTTGCCCTTCTCCTCATCCAGTGCTCTGCCTGTCACCTCCCCCCCCTTGGAAATTCTTCCATTTTATGAGAACTTTTCTCACTCTCTGTGAGTCTGTCTGTCTGTCCACCTTCCTCCCAGGCCTCCCTGCGGTAGCGTGTTATATGTTGACATCGTCAGTCACCCTGCGTCAGTAGTAAACACACTTTTCTTTTTCACAGAATCACCTGTGTGTGGAGAAGGAGGGAGGGATTCTGTCTACAGGATTCTGTCTACTCTGGAGCCTTATAAATGGCCAAAATCCTTAGCTGAGAAATGAACACTCCAGGCAAAGCAAACACCTGCATTCCAGCGCACGTGCACGCGTGCACACACACTCGGGTCGGAGGTCACGGGAGGGCTGGGGCTCCACACACCCCCACGTGCTTGCTTCCCAGCCACAGTTAAATTGTGCATTTTGGTAGAATTCTCACTTCAGATTTGACAAAATTTGCAAGACATCTTCACGTTTTTCAGCCTCCCTTATGCTCTTCCCTGCTCTTAGAAAACAGCCCCGTTCTCATGGGAAAAGGAACGCACTTGCATAGCAGCGTCTTTGGCTGTGGGTGTTTGTGAACTAGGTGTGTGTAGAAGGGGGCACGGGGGGGTGTCTGTGTGTTTCAGGAATCCCTTTTCTAACCAAACACCTATCCTGGGGTAAGGCTTCCAAGGGGAATAAAAGCTAGTGTATGTAACAAGCAGAAATCATGTTCTTAGTTCTGAAATTATTCTCCCTGGTAGTTCATGAAGCTCAGATATAAAGGCGAGCATATTCGACAAAACTTCCAAATGTCTGTGGATTTCACTCTCAGCCTTCTCAGGCAGCAGAGGGCCCGCGGCTGCCGGTAGGAGCTGCCCCCCGTTACGTCCTCACGGTCCCTCCCTCCCTGGGCAGGGCAGGCAGCAGGTGTCAGGTCCCCCAGCCCACTAGCTCCTAAGAGGCCGGCACAGCACAGGGTGTGCCCATCTAACAGGTGGGGGGGCTCAGCGAGAAGGTCACAAAGGCGGTCAGAGGCCACGCCAAGCACGGACCTCCCAACTCCAGTCCAGAGTCCTTCCTGGACCTCACACCAGCCCATATGGCTGCCCCTGGAAAGGCAGCAGGGACAGTTGACATGATCCATCCCTGCCTCCTTCCTGGCCCTTCCTCTCCTAGGAGATGCCTCCTCGGGTTCCCTCCCTGGCCTGTCCCTGTGCTTACCGCCCTGGATGAGCCAGCATGCTCCTTCCTCAATCCGCCTCAGATGCCTCCTGCTGCAGTGAGCCGGCGGGGTGTGACAGCTGAGCCAGACGGGGGCAGGGTGGGCTCCTGACCGTGCTGCCTCACTCTCCCTGCAGTGACAGCGAAGAGCAGGACAGCACCAAGGAAGACAACATGGCCCTACTACGTTTCCATCTCAAATATGAGGCCGAGGTGCTCTTCACCAGGTGGGCTGGGCTCGGGGGTCCTGCAGAGGGGAGGCATGGGGGAGTGAGACCTAAGATGGGGCACCCTCTGGTGGGCCCTAATGGGGTCAGAGGCCCCAGAGGCCAAGCCCCAGCACTGACGGACTATAAGATGGAGCCAGGTGTATCCCTGGTGGGTCAGGGAGTACAGTCCCCTCATCCATGGTGGGGAGGGTTGTCAGAGTAGAGGAGGGGAGAAGACAAAGTCCTCACCCCCTTGGAGCTCCCAGCTGGGGCAAGAGAGGAGGGCAGGGGTAGTGGGAGCTGTCTGCCCCTGGCACAGGTAATCAGTGGGTGCACTGTCGGTAGAGCATGTAAAAACAGTAACAAGACCTACTAAAAGTCAATCTGCTTTTTATTATCACCTCGCACCAGCAATTTTAAACAGTGTCAGTGAGAATGCACTCTTCCCCACAGGGCAGACTGCTCCCACCCTCACCCCACTGGGTATGACCCCAGCCCCCAGTCTGATGAGCGAAACAGCCCCTGTCCTCTGAGAGCTCGCAGGCAGATGGAGAAGTCAGGACATAATGACAAATACAGAAAGGAAGCTCAGGCCCTTCCACGACCAGCTACCCCTAGAGGCTAGAAGGGTACACAGTGGGCAAGGTCATGTTCAAAAGAGGCCACGCCCCTGGGCAGAGAGGCTAGGGCAGGGTGACAGATAACCGGCTCCTCTGACTCATGTCTGCCCACACACGAGGCAGACGTTGCTACCTGATTGCAGCATTTATTCCTGCTCAATCTCAGAATCCTTCCTAACACAACACTCCCGAGGGGCTCAAGAGGAAACCTGTTTGTTGTGGTCTAAAGAAAGGCAGGCACATGCCCACTCCCTCTGCTATTCATTTATCCATCTAGCCAACACTGACTGAGCTAACAGTGGCCCTGTCTTCTGTCCCTGCAGGAGCAGCAGCCTGAGCCACTACGAGGTCAAGCCCAATAGCTCTCTGGACAGATATGATGGCACTGGGCCTCCTTTCAACTGCATTTTCAAGGTAAGGCTGGAGGGGAGCCAGGGGCAGAATTAAGAACAGGAGCCGAGGACCCCCAGGCCCCTTTTGGGAGGGGAGGAATTTGGAATCATCGTTACTGCCTGGAGTCCAGCCTCAACCCTGCCACATTCACTGTGTGGCTTTAGGCAAGTCACTTCCCCTCTCTGGGCCTCTCAGTACTCATCTGAAAAACAAGCAGGCTGGACTGGGGCAACGTATCAGTGAAGATTAGGTGTGGCTGCCTAACAGTTTTAGGTACAAAAAAAACTGGTTTAAATATGCCAGGGTTTACTCTCCCCCATAAAAGAAGTCCAGAGTTGTCAGCTTTACAAAATCACCAGGATAGGGCCTTCTGTTCCACCATGCTTAGTGTGAAATTATCAGCCTCAAGTGCGCCTCACAATCCAAGATGGCTGCAATGCCAACCATCACGTTCTTATCCCAGGCAGCAGGAAGAAAGAAGGGAAGAGCACACCCCTCCCGGGTACAGAACCTCCCCGGTAGTGGGTTACCTCTCATTGTCCAGAACACTGGTTTAGCTGTAAGAGAGGCTGGGGAATGTGGCTCCTTGTCTTGGGTTCTGCCACTAAGGAAGGAAGAGGAAAGAGAATTAGGAGGCAATGCAGCAATCTCTGCTACCGTGGGCCCCAGATCTCCCCTAGCCCTAAACTGCCATGAGTTTATCAGCTTCTCCTACAGCTGGGTGAGAGTTGGGGACAGGGTGACACCTGGAAATTGGACTTCAGACACACTGAGC